TTTTCCCCTCACATTCCCCCCATTTTCCCCTCACATTCCCCTTTAGTTTCCCTTCACATTCCCCTTTATGTTCTTATGTTTCCCTCTTTCCCCCTCACATTTCTCTCTTTTTCCCCTCACATTCCCCTGTTTTTCCCTCACATTTCTCTTCCCCCTCAGATTTCTCTCTCTTTCCCCCTCACACTTCACTCTGTTTTCCTCTCACGTTTTCTCCCATTTTCCCCTCACATTTCTCTTTTTTCTCCTCACATTTCTCTTTCCCCCTCACGTTTTCCCGCCCTTTTTCCTCCCCTCACGTTTTCCCGCCCTTTTTCCTCCCCTCACGTTTTCCCGCCCATTTTCCTCCCCTCACGTTTTCCCGCCCTTTTTCCTCCCCTCACGTTTTCCCGCCCATTTTCTCCCCTCACGTTTTCCCGCCCATTTTCCCCTCACGTCTCAGAGCTGGAGCGGGAACATTTATTGAGGTCAGTGTTGGGAGAGGACATTTGGGGACATTTTGGGGACAGTTGGGGACAGCTGAGGGGTCAGCTCCGGGGCGGTCACTGGGTGGTCACTGGGCAGTTAATGGGCACTGGTGGCTCAGAAATGGACGTAGGACAGCACGACATCACCCTCGATCTCCAGCACATCCACGTGGGGCCCGGCCGGCACCCGGTGGTGGAAATCAAAGAGCGGCTGCCCCTCAGCAAACACCTTGAACCGATGGTTCCCACAGCGGATGGACAGCTGGGCAGGGGACACGAAGGGGGCTGTCACCCCAGAGACCCCAAAAAACCCCCAGACCCCAAATCCCGCCATGCTCCCCTCCCCAAAATCCTCCCCAGACCCCAAAACTCCTCCGGCGCCCCCTCCCTCATCCCAAAACCTTCCAGAGCCCCCTAAAATCCCAATAATCCCCCTTGCGCCCCACCCTGCTGTCCTCCCCCAAAAACCCCTCAGGACCCCAAAACTCCTCCAGAGCCCCTTCCCTCCCTCATCCCAAATCTTTCCAGAGCCCCCTAAAATCCCCCTTGTGCTCCACTCAGGACCCAAAACCCCACCCAGCTCCCCTCTCCAAAAACCCCTCAGGACCCCCAAATCCCCCCAGGACCCCTCCCCTCTCACATCGAAGTAGCGGCCGGGCTGGAAGGGGCTGCAGCAGGCGAGGTCTCTCTCCTCGTGGCCCCAGGAGCCCCCCAAAAAGCAGTTCCGGACCACCTGTCCCCCCTCGTCCATGCGGGGGCTCACGTGCAGAACCACGTCCCCCCCCGGGCCCGCCCGCAGGTTGATTTGGAACCTGGGGAGGGGGGGACAAATT